AAATACCAGAACCTCTAAAGCTCACTAATTAACATATCTTGTTATGTAGAGTTTCATGCTTCTTGGCCAGCAGCAGTTGCTTTCTGGAATCCTTTGGACAGTGCAAGGCGAGCTGTTTCTCCCAGTTTCAGTCGTTATGTTAAGCTAAGCTAACTGGCTGCTGGCTGTAGCTTCACATTTAGCATACAGACATGAGAGTGGTATCAATGTCTTCAATCAATCTAAGTCTCAGCAAGAAATTGTAAAAGTGCATATCCCCAAATTTTAAATTATTCCTTTAAATCAGTGATTCTCAAACTGGGGGTCAGTCGTAGAACCACTTCAAGGGTTTGCATGAATATGACTCATGTGGTGACATAAACAAACAAAAGTGTTGTGATGCTGGCAAGGCTATTTTGATGACCTGAATCTTGTTTATTACAATTGCCTATATTTTTAATGATTTAATCTACTTTTACAGGGGTGGGGGGCATGAACTTTTTGATCTTCTGAAGTGGAGTGTGACAACAAACATTTGTGAACCACTGCTTTAAATGAAGTGACTGAACATGTGTTTCCTTTCTGTTCAGAGTGCGCCCATCTCTTCCATAAGGGCGGTGCCAGACTGATCCTGTGTGGGACTAGCTGGGATAAGTTGGAATCTCTGTATGACTCTCTGACTAATGACGCTGACCCAAGAGAGGTGAGGAAATTAGTTTCAGTTTCATCATAAACATGCCAGACTCTGAGTAAACCCTTCCAAACTAAAACCATTACTCTTTTCTTGTGGCGCTGAGTCATCTTTTTGGAAAACTACCCAGCTGAAAAACAAATCTTTCACTATGGCGGCTCCACCAAACATTACTATCTCATGTTTATTTCTATAAACTGGAAACTTTGTTACAGTACAGTGACAAGTCTTATCCTAGAACAAAGCCTTTACCATACCTCAAATAGAGACAAGGAACTAGCACACAATAGTGACATGACATGGTGTGCTTGAACTTTTAAGCAAGAGAATAGCAGGTTTGTCTTTGTTTTGATCATAATCCTCTACTACCGGTATATCGATTTGTAGGTAATATGCAAATCAGCTAATGTACTAAGGAAATACCTCATTTGCATATTAAAATTAACAACATAAAAACTGTAATTAAAAAAAAGCTTCTTTTTATGTATACTTTCAGCTCGTAAAGTTTCATTATCATAGGAGTAAAGAAAAGCCTATTTGACAATGGTGTCTGGCCTTAACACACAACACACAACACCGACATGCTAAAAGTTTAAGCAAGAGTATAGCTGGTTCTGTCCTTGTTTTGATCATAATCCTCTCCTCTGTCGCCACCCCCCAGATCACCACTTCCTCCTTTTGTCAACACAATAGCAGGATATCCTCTCTGATAGCATACTGTCCTCCACCTGTCTTCTATATACAGGCCATAGCAGATGTGTCTACATGGAAAAAGCGCATAAATAGTTAACAATATTCAATCATCTAATTAACAAACATGTGAACTCAATCAAACCACATTCTGGTTACTGTTAAAATAGTTTTCCTTTGGATTATCATGGAGGTAATAGCTCATTTACCTTTGTTGTTCCCACTGTAGCTTCTAGTGAATGTGCTGGATGTTTTCACTCCACTCTATGGCAGTGTATTGCTACCACCATGACAAAATATATCTGCTCAGTTTCTCTCAAAATGAGATCTTCATTATGTTATACAAATATGTTTCCATGTTATAATGACACCTTTTTAAAGTTAGTATTTCCAAATGGTTAAATTTTTGCAAGAAAAAGCTCTTGTTATAAAATACATCACTTTATCTTGTTATATTAAGAAACACTCAGGCTATTACACAATGCCAACGTGCCTCATTAAGACAAGGGATTTTAAGCCTTTATTAGAAAGTTGACATGAGGGTAAATGTGGGGAGAGAGACAGAAATGATATGAAACAAAGTTTCCTGGCCAGATGTGAACCAGGAGCCTTGTGTTTCATGCTCGGGGCTTAAACCCCTAGGCCACTAGGGCACCTAGAATCAAGAAACTGTTAAGTCACTATGTTAAATAAGAAACTCCCATATGTTGTGGAAAAAACAGATGCTGCGCTTCAAATTGACAGTGACCGGTTTGATTGATAAAGCTTTATCAATCAAACCAGTTAACATGAAAATTTGATCAGTAACCACCTCACGTTGTTACTGATCAAATTAACATGTGCTGCTCTTGTTTTTTCTCTCTACAATAAGAATTTGGTATGTTGTCGTAACGAGCAAAGCTTTTTTGTTAAAGGGGTGGTTTGACATTTTGGGGAAACATACTTAATGAGAAGATCAATATCACTCTCATGTCTGTATAATAAATATGAAGCTAGCCAGCAGGCGATGCATAATAGCTTAGCACAAACAATTGGGGGAAACAGCTAGCCTGGATCTGCCCAAAGATGCTGGTTGACAGATTTTTCTAACTTTGGACAGAGACAATCTTGCTGTTTACGTCTGCTTTTAGTATCTATGCAAGGCACTAAGCAGTTGTTGGATCTAGCGTCATATTCAGTATACAAACATGAAAGTGATATATCGATGTTCTCATCTAACTATCAACCTGGAAGCATATTGAATTATTTGTTTCAAGAGGAATACTTCATAGGCTATTTAGTAAAAATGAGAAAGATATGTGATTACAACATGGAAATATCTTGAACTGTTGGAATGAGAGATTGATGCTTGATGAACAGAATATGTTGCCCACACAGTAAAATAGTGAAACAGTACAATTCTGTATCTCTAGACATTTGCCCCAAAGCTGGTGATCCTGGACTTCAGCGATATGGACAGCATGGAGGATGTGGTGGCTGAGGTGGTGGAGTGTTACGGCTGTGTGGATGTGTTGATCTGTAACAGCAGCATGAAGCTGAAGGCCCCGGTGCAGAGTGTCTCCCTGGAACTGGACAAAAACATCATGGACATTAACTACTTCGGCCCCAGCACTCTGGCCAAAGGTGGGCAGCACATTCAGAGAAAACTCTGTAGCTTCTTCATGATCTTAAAAAAAAAAAAAATCTAAATCCTAATATGTTCAAATAACGTGGCAGGTGTTCTTCCAACCATGATCTCAAGAAGATCGGGACACATCGTGCTGGTCAACAGCATCCAGGGAAGACTGGCTGTCCCATTCAGAAGTTCTTGTGAGTTGCCAACAGAAATCTCTATGAGCTTCTCTCCATAAAATTAAAGGGTTGGTTCACGTAAATCATGAAAAATATATTTTCACACTCTCCTTTATTACCTTATGGTATCTAACCATTAGAGGTGGGTAGGGTAGCCCAAAACTGTACTCAAGTAAAGAAGAAGTGATCAAATTAATGACTGAAGTAAGAGTATGAATTTATCTACTGAAAAAAAAAAAAAGTTGAGCAGTGAGTAACTTCACATGCGTTATATTTATTGACATACATCTCCTGATTAGATAATCTGTTAAATATTCACAAATAATGTTCTGTTGGAAATGTTTGTAGAGAGGTGTGAAATAATCTAGCATTACCAGCTAGCTTACAATTGCTAAAAACTGGTACATTTGGGGTGAGTAAGTACAAAAAGGTCTAGCTGTCAAAGTGAACTGAAAAATTAGCTTTCTGTCTCAACACGCCTCAACAAAACTTGCTGCCTTATTTGATCAAATCAAATAAGCATGGACCATGTATCTATTACTGAAGAAACAGTCCCCATGAAATTTGTAACAGAGTAACAGAGACAATGGTTCTAGAGAGAGAGAGACTGGCGCTACTACTGTTGAAATTTTTAATGTAACTTTTCAAACATGTGAGCAACACAAACAAAATTCCATTCACCTCCGTGGTAATGGCGTGGAGGCAGCAGTTCCACGGACGGATACCACCTACATGGTTTGATACTACTAGCTTAGTATTGTATTTGTAATGGTAGTTGTGTATTTTCATAATGTGGGTGAAGTGACCCTTATAATGCGTTCTTTGTGAAAATTACAAATTCGTTCAATGTTCTCTTTAGCTCTTATCCACACATTAAAATGAAATACTACCAACATACTTCAGACTTCAAACATGTAGTATTGTTCAACAGTGTAACAGACAGGAAGGCATCCTGTGACACAACAGAAAATAATTACACAAAGTATGTCCTCTGCAATGTATGGAATGAAACAGTCGCACCTCTTTTGTGTTTGTACACAATAATTGATATGTGTGTGTGTGTGTGTGTGTCACCACCTGCCAGATGCTGCGTCTAAGCATGCGGCGCAGGCCTTCTTCGACTGCCTGCGGGCTGAGGTGGAGGACTATGGGGTAGTCGTCAGCACTATCAGTCATACCTTCATCAACGCCTCCGACCCGCCACCTGTCGAGGAGCCCGCCCCTAAACCAAACACTCTGGCTGCATGTGAGTAAAAGGACCGGTATGGAAGTGACTGAAAGTGTAATCATACATGCAAAGCAATTACAAAGCTGTTTCAGTTTGTGGGAAATAGACAGGAGGGAGAACACGTCATAGTTGATGATGTGTTCTTTGCTTTTTGGAGTAGAGATTAATTAATAATTAATTGAATTACATTATTTTCAAATGTTTGGAATATCTAATATATTTTTGCTGTACATAGAAAAATCTAAATGTAACAGTTCTTTCACAGTTATCGCCAGACAGCTGACCCATGGCGTGCGCCCGTCAGTCCTGGCCAATGAGATTATACAAACGGTGAACAGGAAGAGGAAGGAGGTTGTGCTGGCCCACCCCATCCCCAGGGTGGCCCTCTACCTCCGCTCCCTCTTCCCCTCTTTCCTCTTTGCTGTGTTGGCCGCTGGAGTGAAGGACTCCGTCCTGGCTGAGCAGATGCAGTAGGAGAAAGGCTGAAACACAGGATGGAATCGTTATTTCACAGAGATGTGCAATTAAGCATGGATAGTTTGAAAATGCTAGATGTGTAATAGTATGTGCTTGACACAAGACTGGATAATTAACTGGGCAAAGCGGGCAATCGCCCTGGGGTCCAAGGCACTCGAGGGGCCCCAGGGCTTCAGGGTCATCATGTGGCACTTAAATAAAATGTATAATCATTAAAATGTTGATGAAATCAAACACTGTTTTTCATACAATTTATGGTCTGCATTTTTCAGCAATAGCCTTTTTATTGTATTTACATTTAGTAAGGACCTCTCTATATAGTTAGTGTTGGAGTCCACCATTCCCATACTGCATTCAAATTGCCTTCACATGCACAAAGGATGCACAGGAAACAATGCATGCACGTAATCCAACGGTAATGCCAATTGCACACTCCCTCAAAACTTGCAACATCTGTGGCATTGTGCTGTGTGATGCAACTGCACATTTTTGAGTGGCCTTTTATTGTGGCCAGCCAAAGGCACACCTGTGCAATACCCATGCTGTCTGATCAGCATCTTGATATGCCACACCTGTGAGGTAGACGGATTATCTCGGCAAAGGAGAAGTGCTCACTAACACAGATTTTGATAGATTTGTGAACAATATTTGAGAGAAATAGGCCTGTTGAGTAAACAGAGAAAGTCTTAGATCTTTAAGTTCAGCTCATGATGAATGGGGGCAAAAACAAAAGTGTTGCGTTTATAATTTTGTTCATTTACTGGAGTACTAAAGTACAATTTTGAGGTACATTCCATTTTATGCTATTTTAAGTATAAAAGGTGATAAACACTTGGATCTTATAACTAAAAAAAGTAATTGTGAACTTTCATGTAGTTCGAATTCACCTCTTTAAAAAGTTCAGAGGGTAATTTAAATTGAAGTGTCCAATAAAAATATCAAGGTGTTGAAATACTGAAAGGCAGCAACATTTCATATGAAACATTTGAATGTAGCCATCCAGGCTGATAAACAATCAAGCTGGAATGACTGGAATCAGTCAGACCTTTGTCTTTTAAAGTTAAAATTTTGTCAAACTGTCCAAGGAAGTTCAGTTCAGGTGAGTGACAGAACCCTTACATTTTCTATCTGAAATTGCACAATTGCAAATTCAGATAGATAAATATAAAATAAAATAAAGTAAAAAAAATATTTGAATTCCTTGAAAATTGAAGCTGATTTTCACAATAAGGTATTCAGTTGATTGTAAAATTCTACTTATTATGGCCATTTATATACATACAGTATATATTTAATTAGCTCCACCTCAAGCTGCAACATTAAAATGTAAGTTACATGTTGATACAGCAGAAATAGCAAGTCATGTACAATTTGCTGAGAATACTTTACTGTTTGAAACTGTTTGAATGCAGGAATTTTACTTGTAATTGTGGATTTATTACTTTTAGGTAAGTCAGAACAAAATGAAGAAAGATTTTTTTAGTTATCCATATCCATTGTTTTACATATCATCAGGTAAGGGTTTGACTGAAGGCATCCACCCAGTATTGTATGTTTAATGCAGAAGAGAGCAAAGCCATGTCAGCTGTTAATGTCTTTCTCTGTATGTCCTCTAGGTGGCAGCAACATATAGTTATTAATTACATGACTTCTGATACTGAATAGCTCAGCATTTGCGGAGCCCCTTTTGCAATCAATTGTTCATGTGGGTCAAAGTGTTCCAGTACTTGTTCTTTTGAAATATGATTTAACTCTTCTAACTAGTCAACTGTGGAATAACTGATAAATAGACTTCGATGAACCACGACCCAGTTTGTCTGATCTGTGAATACCATGCATTGGTTCTTGGTGTCGCTTTCCCTCTAATGTTGCAATAAGTGCTCGTGCACTGCAATGAAAAATGAAACAAAAAAAAAAACAATTAAAGAAGTAATAATATATAATAAATTATTTCCCTACAACAAATGCTGTTTATCAAAGCCCTGATTCAGGCAGCTATGACGTTTACACAGATGCAATAAGCACAATTACATGTCTCTCAGATTTATTGCACTCATCAGTTCAGAGCTGGAGGACATGAGCGCCTGCCTGCCTGCTTTTATCCTGCAAGGATTGGATAGGATGAATCAATGGTGCTCTGAACATGATGTATATTCTATTAGGTGACTACTTGATGTGTAAATTTACACAAACAACATTTGGTAGATTCATGTTACATTATGTGAGAATTTTTTTTTCACAGGACTCTAAGTCTGTGACAAAAGCCCCCCCCTACAACTGTGATGTAAATGAGGAATAAATTCAGAGGGGCTAGTCCAAGCAGTGTGTGTGCACTATTGGCGTCAAGTCCAGCTGGTATGCGTGAGTCTGTCCTCCAGGTCACTCTCCTCTGGGGAGTTCAACATCTTTTGTCTCCAGAGCCGGCGGACAGGAATGTGTCTCTAATGTTCACATGAATAAATGCAGCTCTATGACGTTTCCACATGTCAAACAGGAAGGACTTCTCCAGAGCACTCAGCTGGGCTCTCTAAATTGGCATTCTGATCTAACACATTTACATGTGTCATACAGCCCTGCCAGATCATGTGCCTCCATTGCATGCAATGGAGGTCAGCCCCGCATATGAATAATTGTTTAGCAAGAGTTTTCCGGAGAGACCACGAGCGTGTTGTATTATATCAGCCATGAAATTGTCAGATTCGTTTTTGCTTAAAGGTAAATCAAACAGAAATGCACCGAGGTGTGCAGTAATATCTGAGAATGATCTGAGCCTAATAGTTTCTCTCAATCAATCTGTCTGAGCTCTCCGGTGAGCAATATGTTGATAAGGCCCAAACACGGCGGGGATGATCGTCCTGAAGCGATATTCAGAGTGATGCCTCCTGAATGTGAGGCATGACTTATATATGAGAATCACCTCACAGGGACGTCTGCTGCTCAGAAATGGTCTTTTCATGAGCGGGGTGATCACCCTTATCAATTTTTAAAGCTCAGGTTATTGACACTAACTTGACTTATGGAGGTTATGCAGAGGCCGTGGTAATGATTCCCCAAGCTTTCACATACAGCACCAGAGGGGCCGGCTCTTCCTTTAAAATATTGGTTGATAGCTGACATTATTGCTCCAATGAGTATTAAAGAAAAGTCTGCACAGTGGGGTTCTCTTTGTCCATCTGTTGTTGCTCTGGATATTTGTATTCTGCCCTGCTATGTAACCGTAAGCAGAGGCATGTAGATCTAAGTGTGTCCAAAAACAACTTGCATGTTGATTTATTCTTTTATTAAATACTGAATGCTGGTCGAATGAAGTCGGACTGTCCAATTCTAACATGATGGAGTTTATTTCATACCACAACTCTACCAAAAATAGCTTAACTTCTGTTTCTATCTTATTGCTCAATGACTTCGTTTTGCAAATAAATTGTTCTCACAAATATAAGTGACAAATAATTGAAATAAATGGTGAGTTTAGCTCCTACAACATCAGGGCGCACCCACACAAGAAAGAAAAAGAATAAAGAAGGAATTCCTTTTGCACATCTACCTATATTTCCCAATTTATACTTCAATATAAATTATTATTCAAATTCAATATAAATTTTTTTTTCAGTTTTGTTTTCCAGTCAGAATTGTCATGGAAATGATTCTATTTCCTGGGGGAGAATTGAATAAATAAATGAATTACAGCAAACACAACCTAAACATCAGTACACGGACAACATAATATAATAGACTAAATACAAGTGTTAATATGCGAGTATATGGATATTGTAATACAAGAGCATGCATAATAAATGAAACATATATGGGAATACATTTTCTGCCACCACAAGAAGTTGATTATTGTTCTATGTATTTCCACATCTCAAAACTAATTATAACTTTGTTAAACAATTGATTTAATCAATATCAATAAGTTATCAATGGGTCATATGACTTGGCCTAATGTGAAAATTATGAGAATTATGAGAATTATCATCCAACCCTGCAGTTCCCCTCAGCTCGACGGGGCTTTTTTTTGCATCTTTTGGCTTGTAGTTTTGATTTTAAGGCCGCAACTTTACTGCTTTGGTTCCCTCTCATCAACCTCACTGTACACTACCTGCGCTGACAGAGAAAGTTGCTGAACGAAAGCTGGTGAACAACGGTGCACTTAGCTAAGGAGTTAGTGGAGATTAAAAAAAGTGGATATTGGACTAACTCATCAACTGGCCAAAAAAAGAAATCCAAGTAAATGTTGCTCTGCTCTGACTGATGTGTACATACGCAACGTTTTGTCTGTCATTACAACAACTTTATAAGCTACTGTCAGTCTTGTGTTTATGGCTTGCACTTCTGCCCTCAAGTGGCCAAATAATCAAGTAATGCTGCTTTTATAAGGAGGATTAAAGAACACAGTCAATAATGTCATCAATCTTTGGCTGTCCACTTTTGAATCAGGTCCAGTATATGTATGCATTGTTTCCTGTGGATCTCATGGGCAAGCAATTTCAATCCTGGCGGACTCCGCCAGCTACAGTGGAAAGAGGTAATTACGGAATGCAAATATATTAAATAGGTATTGCTGGAAAAAATGGGGCCACAATAGTATCAGAAACAAGGTGTAGATATCTAATAAATGAGGATGATTATAACTGGGTTCAAGCACATGTAAGATAACATTTTTTTACAATATGAAGACACTTGATTAGTACATGCAATTATTTTAGTTCAGTTCAAATGCTGAATTTACATTTATACATTTTCAGGATGAAAAATAAATATTCTCCCACTCTGTTATTCTCAAACATTACATCCTGGACAAGCATTTTTAAAATTACTTGCACTTCACACTGAAGTAGAAGAATTTAGATAGACCCAACCTGCCAGCCTGTGCTATTCTTTCAATGTATAATCTCAGCATCGCACATCATTTTAAGAAGGGGATTTTTTTAGTCATAGAAGTCTTCCTAATCCCTCCGTTTTGTTTGGTTTAAAGATTACGCATATTTAATCTTAAAGGGAAAGTTTGCCTTAATCTTTTGTAAATCCCAGCGTGCACTGCTTCTCATATCCCTTCACTTCAGAACAGTTTCTCACAGACACACAACAGCCTCCACAAGAATGAGACAGTGCTGCCAGTTACAGATTAGAGACTTTTAATGTTGGTTGCCATAATCCTTCAATTTTCTTGCTTTTGGACAGAAAAGCATTATAATGTTTCTCATGACCCTCAATTCAGGAAGGACCACAGA